TATTCGTGCTGTTCTAATTCCTAATTTAGGCGAAGAAGAGGTAACGACGCAACCTTATTATTGCGTTTGAAGGGTAAGTCGGTCATTTTACCGTTCGATGACCAGTGGCGTTGAACAGTGCTTATCACGGATACCCGCGCGTGACAGATTCTTCTTCTCAGGCACAAGAAATCGACCAATCATCCCCGTCTCTTTTGACTCCTCGGTTATTTCTTTCCTCCTTTCTGCGTCCCTCCGCCTGCAAACCAGGGTATCTTTGATCTCTCTATATTTAGGTCTCCCATTTCGCCCATCTCCCGATCCCAACCCTGCTGCCTCCTTCCCCACCGAAACCCTTATTTCTCCGCCCAATTCTTGCCGGAATTTGGCTTCCCGATCTCCAATTCGAGGCATAGAAAGGCGGAAAGGCAGGGTTTTGGAAAACAGGTAGCTTTTTGGATCCAAAGGCTCCATGTCCGTGCCGACGATCGCCCTCTACGCGAGCCCTCCCACCGGCGTCTGCTCGACCGCCCACCACTCCTGCCAGATCGCCGTCTCCCATGGCTCCTCCGATTTCGACCTCAACCCCCGGGCCTCCGCCTCCTCCGCCTCCGCTCCCTCTTCCTCCTCCTCCGCTGTCTCCCAGAAGTCGATCGTCGGTGGCCTGTCCCTCATCTTCTCGTCCCCCGCCGCTGCCGCTGCCGCGCGCCACGTCTCATCTTCGTGCTTCGCTGGCGGTGACGAGATTGGCTCTTTCCGGCATGATAGGTCGGACGAGCTCGGAAGCTCGTATTCCTATTCGTCATCGCCCTTCAAGTGCCGAGAACACAGCCCCGTCTCGGTGTTCCAGGGCCCGGTGTCGTGCAGCGGGAGCGGCTCTTCCAAAAGCCCGCCTTCGGTGAGAACTTCACGGGAGTGGAGGGGAGGTGATTGGAGGACGGGAAAAGATCGGCTCTTTAAGGGGTTCATTCGGAACGCGCTCAATCCATGCCTGGATTATAATCCCGCGAGCGTACCTATGCCGAGCGGCAGCACATTCTGTGACGAAGTGTTTCCTTTTGGTTTGGATGAGCGTTTGATCGACATGGCGCCTGCCTGTCAGCCGCACTCCAAAGAATTGCTCGTCGGGGCTCAGTCAAGGCACAAAATTTTTTATGAGGACATCGTTGTCAAGGCTTTTCATGAAGCCGAAAAGGCTCACAGGGGGCAGGTGACTATAAATTTTCTAGCTTCAGTGAATTGAATTGTCACAACAATAATCCTGATATGTGAGTTTTCTGAGTATAAATTTGAAATAAGTTTTCGGTTGATCTGAATCTTCTTGTTCTTTATGATAGATGAGGGCAAGTGGAGATCCTTATCTTCAGCACTGTGTCGAGACGGCAGTATTGTTGGCGAAGGTCGGAGCCAATGCTACTGTAGTTGCTGCAGGGCTCCTACACGATACATTAGATGATTCTTTCTTTGATTATGATCATATTTTTCATATGTTTGGAGCTGGAGTTGCTGATCTAGTTGAAGGGGTATGTTCTTTCTTCTACATTTAGATGACGCTTACCATCTATAATATTTGTTTGCTTATGAAGCTATTTTTAGTTGTAGGCGTATTCTTTTATGTGCCAAATCATCATTATACAAGTCAGGTTGAATTGTTCTTATACATATACTTATTTGTGATGGTGATATCTTTGTTTAATCTGTCATTCAATATCTTCATTAGTCAAATGCTAGTAGAAGTTTATATAAAAAACTTTGCTATGTCAATCTGCTGGCCTTGCATTCCTTCCTGCTTAACTCTATGATGCAGTGTTGATATGTTTGGAATAAGAATTTTCAACGGTATCTTGATTATTAGTCTAGTTATTTGATAGTTAGTCAGTAAAGTTTATTAATCTAACATAAGCATTGCAATTAACCTAGCTCTCATATTTTTTGTTATTGCAAATATAAGTTTGGTTGAAGCTTGTATGATCTTGTATTGCATTCTATATGAATGTGGTGAGATATTGAAAAAAATTCGACTCCAATCAGAGAGTCAAAATTGTTCATATACATACTGTTGTTGTATAGATGAAAAGGATGGCTCAAGTATTAAAAGAGAGGTGAAATTAATACCATATACTGATTATCCATGTATATAGATGTAAAGTGATAAATTGGGGGAAACAAAATGATATGCTGCGGTCATGTTTGTATATTCATAGAACACTGCATCAATAATTTTTTCATCAAAATATGTTAGCTTGTTGATGACAAAGTGAATCATGAGATGGCTTGTACAAGTTGCAACAGAAGGCTAGATAACAAGTGACCTATTCTATTCTTGCAGGTCTCTAAATTAAGCCACTTGAGCAAGCTTGCTCGTGATAGTAACACTGCTAGCAGAACTGTTGAGGCAGATCGTTTGCACACGATGTTTCTTGCAATGGCAGATGCTAGGGCAGTGCTTGTAAAGCTAGCAGACAGGCTTCATAACATGATGACTTTGGAGGCATTACCCATGGTCAAACAACAGAGATTTGCAAAGGAGACCCTGGAGATCTTTTCTCCCCTAGCTAGTAGATTAGGAATCTCAACTTGGAAGGAACAGTTAGAGAACTTGTGCTTCAAACATCTTTATCCAGAACAGCACAAAGATTTGTCTTTGCAGCTTCTAAATTCCTTTGATGAAGCACTGGTTGCTTCTGCCATACAGAAATTAGGAAAAGCTCTGACAGATGAAGGTGTTTCCTATCATTTCCTGTCTGGGAGGCATAAAAGCTTGTACAGCATTTACTCCAAAATGCTAAAGTATGCCATTCAAATCTCTACTTATCATTCTTTTACAAGTAGATTTAGGTATCTACAAAAATTTTGTTGATGTACCAATAGTTTTATGCCACCTCTATATTTAAACATGGATCAAATCTAACTTAGTATTGCATATTTCCAGGAAGAAGTTAAACATGGATCAAATCCACGACATCCATGGTTTACGTTTAATAGTTGAGAACGAGGATGATTGTTACAGAGCCCTGGACATTGTTCATCGAGTATGGCCCGAAGTTATTGGAAGATTTAAGGACTACATTACTCATCCCAAATTTAATGGGTGAGTTACTGATGATAATAAACTAGTTAGTAATCTTGGTAGCTTAACTTGATGCTATGCGTTACTTCCAGGTATCAGTCAATGCACACTGTTGTACTGAGTGAAGGGATGCTTCCTCTGGAGGTCCAAATTCGAACAAAAGAAATGCATTTGCAGGCCGAATATGGTTTTGCTGCCCATTGGAGGTATAAAGAAGGAAACAGTAGGCACTCCTCATTTGTACTTCAAATGGTGGAATGGGCGAGATGGGTCTTGACTTGGCAATGCGAGACAATGAATAATGAACAGTGCAGAACGTCTGGGGACACAGACTTGATCAGGCCACCATGCCCGTTTCCTTCTCATGCCAATGACTGCCCTTATTCCTACACTCAGCAGTGTGGCCATGATGGACCCATTTATGTCATAATGCTGGAAAACGATAAGGTGAGTTTCTCTTTTGGTTCCATCTACCAAACCAACAGCTTGTTGATAACTAACCCGGTGTTTATGCTTGATTCCAGATGTCAGTGCAGGAGTTCCCCATGGAGTCCACCGTTTTCGACTTGATGGAAAGTGTCAAAGAAGGTTGCTCAAGTGTATCCCCTTTCAGATTCCCTGTAAAGTTAGATTTGAGGCCGAGACTGAACCATGAGCCGGTGAGCGACCCGAGTCAAAAGCTCAAGATGGGGGATGTGGTGGAGCTGATGCCGGCCCTCCCCGGCAAGTCACTGACGGAGTATAGGGAAGAAATACAGCGGATGTATGAACGAGGACTGACACTCTCTAGCCGGCATGGCTAAGGAAAAAGATCATCCTGAAGCTTAAGGATTCGTTATTACTGCAACCTGTTGTATGATTTGATTTATTTGTTGTAAATATGAACTAATTGAATACAAAGCTTAAGGCCATTGGGGTTGTGGACATGTGGGTCAATGGGGATTGCGTGTGGAGACGCTTACTTGCAAGGGAAGCGATTAGTCGCTTGTGCTCAACATGTAATGCGTTGTGGGTGTTGTTGCGGACCTTTGGCATCACGCAAGTAATTGCATTATAGTATCTTCCTTCACATCCTTTTCATACATGTGGTGTTTTGACTTGTTGGTTTGCTTTAGCAAGTGGTCCTTTGCAAACTTGTGGTGTTTGTATCGTGACGACTTCATTGGAATTTTTGGTGTCTGGAATCTATTTTGTGGTCTGTGTGTCAATGATCGACTCGGTAGTGAATGAGATGTTGATTTGTGCTTCACTACAATCAGCTGAGCTGGACGAGAAAATTGAAGGAAATAAACGTTCCCGTTGATTTTAGATGCTGGAGTACAGTGTATCTGTTCTTGGATTGACACAGTCGCAGGGTATGTGGTTTGGTGTCTCGTCTTTGACAAGTGGACGCATCGTTTCCGTGTGTTCAAAGGCATACTAATAGAATATTTGACAGCTGCTTCATTGTCAAAGAACATCTTTAATGGGCATTCGATCGTCAACATTTCGTATCCAATTGTCTGTGAAGTAGTCACATAACAGGCCATTCCGAATTGTTTACCCTTATCTATCTGTAAAGGTGGTTGTTTTTGCTTTGCGTGTCTTCCATCTTGATTTGATACATTTTGTGGGTGACTATTAAACTTCCTTTTTTTACTTAAGAGGAAAGAAGGTATAGTAAGAGGGATTAGACAAAGAAATTAGAGAGAGAGAGAGAGAGAGAGGACTTTGATATACTGTAACTTTCAAAGATTTAAAAGGAGGATTTGCAGATTTTAGGGTGAAAATAGTACATCGAGTTTTAGTATTGTAATGCATTATACAAAGATTGTACAAGTTATTTCGTTCATTCATTATATAAATTATTTTTCTTTCTTATTCTAGACCAACTGCTTGAACCATATAGTGATTGGTTTTCCCTCAAAAATGCTATGGCCTCTTTCTTTTTTTTTTCTTCTGAAAAAACTCATATTTTACAAAAGATATTCTTTTGTTTTTTCTTAATTAGAAAAATCTATAACATTCCTCAAAAAAAATTTTGTCAAATTTTTTTCACCTATGTTTTTACCCGTTTTCACTTATTACAATGTTTCTATTTGGCTTATGTATAGTGTTTTATGGAGGGACTAGAAACTTTCATTGTAGACGTCATTGAACAATGCTATGTCATATTGTATATGTTTGGTTGTCATTGCTTGTAGGTCAATATAATATATATATATATATATATATATATTTTTTTTTTTATAGTTAATTTATTTGAGGTTATGAATCTATTTAAATTATTTAAAAGATAATATTTTTGAGTAGGTCTTATAGTGTCTTTATTGTGATGGCCAAGATACTATAGTAGATCAAACACATTCTAATAGGTCAAAACATTATAACATGCTGAAAAATATTACGATGATACTTCTTAAAACTTTCGGCCTACTCTAAGATGGAGAGGGAGAGGAGAATAGGAGACGAAGTAAAAACTCTAGCCTATAAACTATTGAAGCCCTCATATTTATAGATGTCTCTTATCAACTTAACCTTAATGGATCATCTCCTATTAGATATTGGATCTCCATCTAACTACCCAAGCCTCTTAGATTAGTGAATCTCTATCCAATAATCTCTCATGGGCTTTTATTGGATCTCATTCATAGGATCCAATAATCCAAGGGCTTATTGGATATCCAATAATTCAGGGGCTTATTGGATATCCAATAAGATATGGGCTCCGACTAATATCATATCTGAACCTCTACTCATCGCAATGCCTACCATATGTGTGTGACTCTCTAGGCCCAATATCGAGCTGGCCGTGAGTCATACCTGTCAGAACTCCTTCTGGCTCAGTGAATTATTATCTCCATAATAATTCACTCGACTCATCGACTGCAGACGTATTAGGCTACTACACCGTAGTTCCCAAACGATACAGGGGAATCCAATCCATTGGACCTATCTGTCCTCAGTTACTGTATAGCTATAGTTTTTCATCCATCTAATATTTCAGAGACCGTATATCATGCTATCATACCCATATGGTTTTTACTCGAGTCTCGCTCTAATCAGATTCTCCCAGAGAACTCATTCTCTCTCAATCCAAATAACCCTAGCTAGGGATTTGTCTAAGCAAAAATATATGAGACATTTCTCTCATGACACCGAGAGTGGATGATCCTCTATCGACACTCAATAGTCCTCATAAGGTTGACTACCACTCCCAATGACTAATTGTGCTAGATTTGGGACATCCAAACCTATAAGTCCGGTATCAAAAAGTGGATCACTCATATAGGACATCCTTGGTGTTTCAAGTATGAGAACCAGATACACCACTGGGACTACGAAATCAATGTCTAACAATAAGGCATCATCAACCATTCAGCATTCCGTAAGCGAATCAATCAGTGAACTCATTCCCCAATAAGCACTTGTATTGTATCCCCAGTGTTCCCACATGAGCAGCTATGAGACCAGCTGCATCTATCATATGGACGGGTATACAACACACCAGTCTATCTGGTTATCTCGATGTCCCTCTCGAGTAACCTATGATCGGGATTATTTATGATATGTGTTTAAAGACGAATCGGTCTCATTATAGTGATCTTATCATAATCT